CTAGCTCCCAGCTCCTTTGTTGTGCTTTATATGCTGAGCCAGAACTTACCCCAGGAGGTAGGGAGTTCTGGGGGGGGGACTTTCAAGGGGCTTGGGGGAGCCTTAAGCAGCATCCTAGTCACTTCTCCAGGTTGAGCTGGTCTAAGATGGCACTCTTGAGGGCATGCCTTTCTTGCATGAGTTCACTGTGGCTGCTGCTGTTCCCTGGTCATTGTTCATACACAGAGCTTCACTGGGCACTTTCTTACCACCCGCTCTTGGGAAACCTTATTCTGCTTTGAAGTAAGACAGCAACTTCTGGGACCATTCTTTCTCATCTCATCCCGTACCGAGCAGAGGGCACTGGCCTTTGGCACACAGTGGTGGAGAGCATCCTTGGGTAGGGAAGAATTTATGACACCTTCTTGAGGAGGCAACAAGTGGAGGAAGGAGCTGAAGGCTGTGTTCATTATACATTTATCACTAATGTGTTACATGACCATGAACTAGCTCCTTAGGACATTCTCTTTCCTCTAACCCAAGGAATCATTTTCTTTGTTTGGACTGAATACACTGTGATGGACCAGCAACCCACTTCTTGAATGTTCTTTCTTTTCTAGAAGGACACTTTCCTGCAGAATGTGGATGGCTCCCTCAAGCAGGTTAACCAAGTGGAGCCATCAACCTTCGGCAGGCCTAGGTTTCTTGGGTGCTGGTGGTAGCTTTTTCAAACTCGGAAGAAGCATAGTTCCTGCCTATGGAACTCATTTAACAGGCCTTGTGAGGTTTACTGAATACTCACTGCTATTCCACTGCCAAGGCTGAGTAGACCTGCCCTGGGCTGCTCCTGGGAGTCATGGGGATCAGCTTGACTGAGGCTCTGCTTAGCAGGCAGGATGTGAGCTGTGAGACCAGCTTTTCCCCACAGAAATGTCCTCATTTAGAGAACAGACCTGCTTCTGTTATGGTGGTCAGTGACGGAGGCATAGGATTAACGTTCCACTGAGTTCCTCATTGCAGCCATGCCTGGGCTCGCTACCTCCTTTGGCTTCCTTGAGTCCTTTTTTCTTGGTTTGTTAGAAGCCGAGTAGAAGTGGACAAAGCAGTTTATCTGTCATGTTGCACCCAAGCTGCTAGTGGCAATTTCAACCTCAGGCAAGGGGAAACTGAGGGCCGCAGTTGGATTAGGAAACAAAGGATAAAGCTAGGCAGCCTGCATGAGTCGTTCCTGCAGCTCCTGCTGGGGTCACTAGATCTTTGTGAGAATCTGGAATCTACTTTCCTGATCTGTAAGATGGGTCATCAGAAAGTGACCCAGTAACCAGGACAGACTGCCGTGTACACACCACAGGGTACACTAAGGACACTATAGTTCCATAACTCTACTGACCCAGGGAAAGCTGTCATTATCCTATGACAGAGAAGAGAAGACACTGAGTGTGGGGCCCTGAGGTGTAGGACTAGCACCAATTCTTCCCCAGGCTAGGTTCTAGTCCTAGCCTGTGGCTCTGTGACTTCAAGCAGGTCATTGAACTCTGCTGGGTCTCATTTCCTCATATGAAACAGATGCAGGGACAGCATCCATCTCCTGGTGGCTACAGGACTCCATCAGCTCTTCAAGTCCTGGTATACAGTAAAGACTTGGATGATGGAAGCCTAAAGGCCTTGCACCTCAGATGAATCCCCTCCTATAGTCCTCTCCTGCTCTGTCAAGTTACAGCCTGCAGAGTCAGTTGGCTCACTGACCAGAAGCTTCAGGTACTTTGCCCCAGGGTTTGTCTTAGACTTTGCCGTGAACAATATCCAAAATAGCTCATGGAATGGCTCACTTCAGACTCATAGGATGGGCTTGATTAGTGGTGGGGCAAGGACAGTGGGGTGGTTTCTCACCTGAAGAATACTAAGTGGGACACGCTTGGGTAATGGAGGCTTTGAGAGGGAAAGGGCTAGTGTGAACAGGTAAGGGCTGGTGTGAACAGGTATGGGAAACATGCAGGAAAGAACCAGGCAAGCCTAGACCAGGCTGCCTTTGAGCTCCCCTGGAAACAGGAAAGGGTTAAAAGAACCAGAAAGCAAAGGAATACATATTCAGGAGAAAGCCTGGAGAGCTAAGATGAAGTTGTTTGGTCAGCTGAGCAGCCTCCTGGACCTCTCTGCAGGCCACCCCCACCACATACACATGAGCAAATGAACACACACAGAGATCCATACATCAACGGGCATGCACCTCACACACGGAAACAAGTATACAGCTATATATCAGCATACAGACACACAGAGGCATATGGGCATACGAACGGACACACACATACAAAACCACACGCACGTGCGCGCGCGCGCACACACACACACACACACACACACACACCTCAGAAATGAGAGAGACAGAGAGAGAGAGAGAGAGAGAGAGAGAGAGAGAGAGCAGGGAGGAAGCTCCAAATTGGAGAGCAGGTACTGGGATCAACCTCCTGCCTCTCTTCTCCCCTCATTGCAATGTTAGTAACTCTTGCCATGCATGGAGCCAGGCTCCATCCTAAACTCTTCCATTACCTTGTTCAGCCTTCACTGCACCCAGTGAGATAGGCATTGTCATTAGCCCCGGTTTACATGTGGAGAAGTCAAGTCTCAGAGCGTAAGAGCAGCTTGCTGGAGGTTGCAGTTTGCTTAGTAGTTATTCCAGAGCAGACCACCAGAGTGCAGAGCTTTAGCTGTCAGCTCCCCAACCACACCTGAGCCACTAAGGTCCTACCATGGCCCAGTACCATGGACACAGAGGCAGGAGGATCATTACAAGGCAGCCTGGACTACATAGTCCCAGACCAGCCAGGGCTATATAGAACAACTATCAGAACAAAATGAGAGAAGGGGTGGGGAGAAAACTAGGTGGTGGCTCATACTTGTAATCACAGCATTTAAGAGTCTGAGGCGGGCCGGGCAGTGGTGGCGCACGCCTTTAATCCCAGCACTAACAAGGCAGAGGTAGGCGGATCTCTGTGAGTTCGAGACCAGCCTGGTCTACAAGAGCTAGTTCCAGGACAGCCTCCAAAAGCCACAGAGAAACCCTGTCTCGAAAAACAAAACAAAACAACAACAACAAAAAAGTCTGAGGCAGCCATCTGGAGAGATGGCTCAGCAGTTAAGAGCTCTGGCTGTTCTTTCAGAGGTCCTGAGTTCCATTCCTAGCAACCACATGGTGGCTCATAACCATCTGTAAAGAGATCTGGTGTCCTGTCCTCTCCTGGCCTGCAAGCATACATGCAGACAGAATACTGTATACATGATAAATAAATAAATCTTTAAAAAAAAAGAGTCTGAGGCAGTTAGGTTGTTGTTAGGCTAGCCTGGGCTACATAGTGGTTTGAAGGCTAGCCATGGTTATTGGCTACATACTGAGCCCCTTATCTCAAAAGAAAGAAAGAAAGAAAGAAAGAAAGAAAGAAAGAGAGAAAAAACGAAAGAAAGAAAAGGGAAGAAAGAAAAAGAGAAAGAAAGAGAAAAAGAAAATAGAACAATTAAACCTCTCCAATTCCAAAGAAACAAACTATTGGATTGAATAAGCAGTGAGAAAAGCTGGCATGTCTCCAGAGTGAGGACTACTAACCAGAACCCTTCCTGAGCCAGACCCTGTATCTGGCAGGCTTCAGAGTGCCCCTCCTGTGTCACCTTATTTCAACCCCACAACAATGCCAGGAGGTCCTGTCTTTGGCCCCATTTTACAGGTCATCAGATTGGGGCTAAGAGGCTCAGCAACTTCTCCTACCTTGTCATCCCCCACTCTCTATGACACTCAAGCTCCTGCCTCACACTCTTCAATCCTGCTGCCTTTCCCTATGTC